CATGATGAGCGAAGCTGGATGCCAATGCCGACGGCAGCAGCACCGGCAGCAACGTCAGCTCTCTGACGACCCTGAGTGCTTCCGACAATTGTTGCTCATATCAACAACAACAACAATAACAACAACAACAAGAACATCAACAGCAGACAGAAATTAACTAAAATGCATTTGTGGTCAAATGCAATGATAATAAATTAAGATAAATTATTTTCAAGCGCTTCTATCGAAATTAATGTAAACTAATTAGTGATAAAAACTGTCAACGGCAAATAAATTGAATATTCTACCCATACGAATGCAATTCGCCGTTAGATAGTATCCACATTTGCCCCAGTCGGCTCTTTGTGCCCCCATATTGTCACAAATGTCGCCGTCGTCGTCGTCGTCGTCATTTGCGGTGCATTGAAAGCTATTAAAGTAAATTGCAATGAACGGGACCCAAAACCCATACTCATACCCATACCCATACTCATACCCAGACCCGAACCCGGACCCGGTGCCGGTCATACCTGCCCGCAATTGTCGTATCTCTAATGTGAGTACTACACATGTAGCTGCTCGTATCTTGGTATTGTGGGTGCACTCATTGGGTTTTCGCGGGGACTTCTGCAGCAGGTCTAATTGCGATTTAATGTCTTTTCGGCCTTTTCCTATGAAAGTTACAAAAGAGACGAAGAAAAGAAACGCGATAATACCGAACGACTCTATCAATGCAGGCTGAGTCCAAATTAATGGAACTAGCTTGTGCTACTAAATACTATCTACAACTAGACAAATAACTCAATGGAAATCTATCTGAGCTGGCGACATCGCCTTTTTTTTTTTTCTTTTTTGTTCCAACTTCGTATATATAATAAGATCATTAGCGGCTTTTGCTTGAAATAGTGGAAAACTAGCACAGCTTATCGTCATTTCATGATTTATGCGACACTTACACATAATTGCATAGAGATATTAAATTATCGTCGCACATAAAAGACCTCCAGACAGATATGCAATGACAATGGCTGGAGCTGGGCGGTAATTGAGAAACTGCATTAGTTTCTATGCAAATCGAATAGGAATGCAATTCCGAATTGTTTGTCAGCTTCGGTTATATTAATTTATGAACTGATTGGGCATATTGGCTTTGTCTGTCAGTCTGTCTATTCGCATGTCTTTGCATACCGAAAATACCTCTAGAATCCTGCTAAGGTTTAGCTAAATATTTTATATCCATGTCGACTAGGGCGTGGCATATCGGGAAAGGATGGTCCCTTCTACAGTGGTTCAGTTGGAAACTATACAACTAAATTTTTAACTTGACTTAATAGTACTTTTTCTAGTTTTTCTTCCCCTTTAATGGAAACTACTAATATTTTCATGAGCAACTGGATTTATGGGCGTTTTTCTTTAAAGGCCTGCAGTGCCAATTCATATAAATTGTTATTAAGGAATTCTCGAATTAATGAAAACTCGATCCAATTTGTCTCTTAAATAATTTCTTTAACAT